TTTTCCTTTTACTTGGCTATTAGAATTATGAACTAGAAATTTTCTTTCAGAAGGAAACTGTCCATTCGACGTTCAGTTCAACAAGCGTTATTCCAAAATTAGAAGATGCTGAGTACGCGGGTACTAACAGTTCTTCGTCGTGTACTTTGATAATTACTGAAGGAGATTCTGCGAAGGCTTTAGCAATTGCTGGGATTTCAGTATTAGGAAGATCTTATTACGGAGTATTTCCTATTCGGGGTAAATTGGTGAATGTGCGAGGTCTTACGCCACAAGTTGTAAATATTCCACATTATTAAAAGTTTTGAAATTTTTAATCAGTCACTATCTCGTATTCATCGCTTACTTCTTTTTCAGGCAATGGAAAACGCAGAAATATCTGCTATTGTTAATATTCTTGGTTTGAAATTTGGCGAAAGTTACAATTCAGAAGAATCAAGAAAAAAGCTGCGTTATGGCAGTGTAATGATAATGACCGATCAGGTTAATTTATGCATTATCAAGTTATACTTCTTTTGGAAGCAGTTTCGAAAAAAGGCTCGTTTTGCGAGCTTTGCAAGTCGATTTTTCTGTGGAGGAAGTTCAGTTTTAGGATCCAGATGGTTCTCACATCAGAGGATTGCTGATAAATTTCTTACATTTTTTTTGGCCGTCGCTGTTAGAAGCTAATTTTATTAAATGTTTTGTGACGCCTCTTCTAAAGGTAGGCTTCTAATTTACGCTGAATAGGTATTTCACAACAGCTTGCGCTGACGCAGAGTGAATAGTCTATGCGCGACTTGTTGCAATTTTTGCGGAACCAGGTTCTACTCATTTCGGCGTGAATTTCGTAATGTATTGTTTATTATATGTTATTTTCTGTAAGGGTATCGAAAGTAATATTGCAATCTCAAGGCCTAAGGTAGAAATCTAAACTTTCAAGTTTTTAGGCTAGGCGTGGCTCTAAAGTGCTATCATTTTATAGCACGGAAGAGTTTAGAAAATGGAAAGAAGATTCTCCTCATGCCGGCGAGTATGCCGTAAAATATTATAAAGGTAGTAGTGCACAATGCGTTTGCTATAGAATCTTTCTTCAGTTTGTTGCATCCTTATTTTTTCTATGTTTAATATAAATTTCATTAGCAATGTTTAATAGCACTTATACAGTAATTTAGTTTCTGGTTGGTAAAGTAATATAACACTTTTTAGGTCTGGGGACATCAACTGCAAAGGAGGCTCGCGAATATTTTTCGCACCTTGAGCAACACGAACTGCAAGTTGTTTACAAAGGTCTCGAAGATGATGAGAGCGTAGATTTGTTTTTCAACAGAGCAAGAGCTGATGATCGCAAGAAATGGATCAGTGAAAGCTTCACTGTATTTATAGTCTTTATTGAATTTTTTTGAAAAAAGGTTGCAGCAGAAGTGTTTTTTGTAGACTCCACGACAGAATTCTGAATCTGGCAGTTGCAGTATTTCGTCGTTCATCAACAATGAGTTAATCCTCTTCTCACAA